ATATATATGTATATATATACACACACTCAGTTCTCCATCTCTCCCACCAGTCTTGCAACCTTGTGACTGAGAGAGACTGGGCTAAAGCTGTAGCTGTACATCACAGGTACTCAAGAATGAGCCATATAATTGCAAATACTTACAGCGTTTGGCCTGAACTCCTCTTTGTGGAAAAATCCTCCTGTCATCATCTTCTTACTAAACGTTACCACATCTGCTGGATCATCCAGGCCCCAATGTTCATGTGCCCAGAACTTTCCTGTGCAGCCACCTCCTGTCTGCACTTCATCCACGAGGAACGCGCAGCCGTGCTGTGGAGAGAGGGTCGCAGTGCAGGGAGCGCGAGTCCGCATTTCCAATGGATAAACACAACCCAGCCGTACGGAACATTCATCCCTTCCTCTGCCTTCACCTCTCCCACATCTCCCCAGCTCAAAATCATTGCCCACAGATTTTCTAATTGGGCTTTTAACTCATTTTGCATTAAATCTTAGTCAAAAATTGGCAGTTTACAAGAATGCCACCAGAAACATTTCTGCATAAGTCCACAAAAGCAATATATGTTTTTACCTAGTCCAGCCTTAGGCACCTCCAGAGGATGCCTGAAAACATCTAGGAGTCTGGATGCAATTTTCAAAACCTCAGACAGAAGTAAAGCATTAAGAACCTCATGTTCCTATGTTCAAATGTCACCTATGCCCTTCTTCACAAGCACACATTAGTTTCTCCCACAAATGTTAGTTGGGGAGAAGAAGCATGAAGGAGATCTTACTGAGGGCCATCACTTCTAAACAGGTAACTTTATATGTCAAGTATGGAGATATCTGCCTTGTTTTCATTGCTGGCTTACTGGAACATCACCACTTACGTGTGGACTCAGCTTGTGTTTCTGTCTGTTGTGTTTCTGCCAAATGTTTGGCCATTTGAAACAAGTATTTCAACAAAAATATTATCCGTACCCATCTCTTCTGGCACGGGTTGAAATCACTCAGAAAATCAGCACTACCATTTAAAGAGCACTACTGTGAAACCCATAGTTAATGGGTCAGAGTAGCTTCTTTGACCTAGAATAAAACGTATTTGACTAAGGAAACCACTTAGAATGCACAAAATAGAAGCAAAAACACCATGCTGACTATAGGGATTGCCTACATCTGAATATGTATATGTAACTATCCCAGCAGCTACTGAGGAGGCATGTGAAAAAGCTCTATAATTGCCTGGGGCTGGGTGGGAAGAGAGTCCTGTGGACACAGGAGCAAATCCACACATGCTCAGCTGCTGCTGTGTGACAGTGACAGGCCCAGTTACCTTCCTGGCAATATCCCGTAGCTTCCTGAAGAAGTCATCGGAAGCGTGGTTGTCCCCACCCTCTGACTGTATTGGTTCCACGATGATTCCAGCCACAATCTTCTTCTTTTTCCTGTACTTCACAATTAGATCTTCCACCTAAAAAAAAATCAAACACTTCTGTTATATTTTCCTTTCAGGACACTGGCACATTTCTTCCCAGAAAGATTAAACTTTCTTGATGCAAAGCCATTTCTGGCTATTAAGGTATTAGGAGCCCCAAGGAATAAAGCAGCTGCTCCAGGATTTATCACTGTCCTCTTGTTTGTCCTAAAGTTTGAAACATACTGAGAAACATTGTAACTAGAAAACAGTTTAGCTCACACGCTAATATAAATTAACATTAGGTTGGAAAATCTAAAAATTTCAGCTGATTGTATCATGGAAACTACAGAGGTTTACTAAGCCATTGCTGTTACTCCACCCAAGTAACATAGAGAGAAGAAAGAAAAAAAAAAAAAAAAAGCATATTTTGTGTCCGAACACAAAGCTCATCTAACATATTAAGGCAATCTGACAGGTTTGCTTTTTCTAGTCACCTAGTGCAGATATTTTAATCAGATGAATTAGTACAGAAATCTGGTTGCTGATAAGGACTTAAAGAGAAGTTTTAAGTAACCCTGTGGCACCAGTCGCTGAGATTAGTAATGCTATTTTGCTTGAAATACCACTTCCAGCTTTCAGGGCCCACAACCTGTACAGACACGTATCTTCCTGTTCTGGTACCTGCACACAGCTTGGGTTAAATCCGTTCTGCTCAGCCTTCCTTTCCCCTGGAAGGGCACAGAGTCCCTGCAACAAGCCTTTTCGGCTACCCACTTACGTCCTGTACCTGTGGGACCAGACTTTACTCTAGAAGGCTAGACTAGTCTAGAATACTTATCTTTTAGGAAGGGTGAAAAAGCTGAAAAAAAATATTACAGGTTCTGTTTTTGGGTGATTGCACACACTAGGATTTGTCTTGGCATCCTCCTCCAAGCTGTGTCAGACAAGTTCATTGTGATAGAAAAAACTACTCCTGCATGTGAGATTTCACTTCGGTATGATTTACGTAGACTTCTGATAGTCACAGGTCAGCTGATCATTCTTTCTGAAAGGCAGGCACAAACTTCTCACCGTAAACAACAGCGAATGCTGTTTTTAATCACATGCTGTTCCAATCCCTGAAAACACTCTTTAAGTGAAAAGCAGCTAATCCTGCTAATGCTATTCATTATTTCAAAAAGAAAACAACTGAAGACTGCCAGAGATTTTTTTACCTCTTCTAAACAACGGGCTTCTTCCTGTTGATTCTCTTTCACAAAGTCTTCCAAAGGATACTTTAGCCTTGGAAATGGAGCAATAGGCCAGTCCAGCGATGGGATGTCTAATTTGTGAATTGCTTTAGAATGAGTTGTAGCTAAGCAACCTAAACCCAGAAAAACAAGAATTAAAACAATATCTGACTAGGAAGAATACAGGACGAAAGTTACGAAGAGGTGAAAAACTGCCTGACACCAAGACTGAGGATTTCTGTTCATTGCTCTCTGTTTTTATTTGATTTTCTGAAACACTGAGTAATTGGGCTTTGTGAAGCCTAAGGGAACTGCGCTAACTTTGAAGCCTCAGGTTCTGTGGAACAGTGTCCCAAAAGAAGAGGGTCTGTGTGACTCTGCTTTACAGAAAAGCAACGCTCAGACTAGAAAGTTTCACCATTCCAAAGTCAACTTGTTGCAAAGCTGGGAGTTGGGTAGCATGTTTAGGATAGGGATTGAGTCTACCTAAAACCTAAAAACAAGTGACAGCGTTTGTATGCTGCAGTAATTTTACCTCATGATTTAAATTTTAACTTGTACAGACAGCAAACCTTGGATTCAGAATGAAAGTAGGGAGTCTTCTGAAAACAGATACTCAAAAGATGAAGTAAATAAACCGTCTCTCAAAACAAGCAGTGTGTTTTAGGGCTGATAGAGCTGCTAAGGCAAACCTTTTATAAACCTGTAGCCTTCACTGCTACTAACTAAGGAAACACCTAATTTTCACAACCTGCATGAGGTGATGAATACTGCAGGGGCTAACAGCAGCTGAGAAAGGAACATGTCCCTGCCAGAGCCCGCCTTACCCAAGGTGCGTCCGTGGAAGCCACCCATGAAGGAGAGCATGGCGTAGTCGGGGCAGCCGGGGGCCTGGAAGCAGAGCAGAGGGTGAGGGCCGCAGGCAGATGGTGGCGCAGGGGGCGCAGGCCGCAGGCAGATGGCAGTGCAGGCCGCGCGCCGCCACCTCGCTTACATAAGGAGCGGCCGTCCGCTCCAATCCAGGCAGGGAAGCACCTCTCCAAACCAAACCAGACGGTGCTATAAAGTGCTCTCTTCACCCATTTAAACAAGTACATTTGTCACTCAAAAACTGCCTCATATTTTCACTGTCCACACGCTACTTACACCCTTGAATCTTGTACCCATCCATGTGGTACAAGCCCATGACTGCCATATTTGTAGGTGGATTCCTCTCAGAGAGGGAGAATTGCTCTCTGACAATCCCCTCCCTCCACGATTATAATGAAAACTCAAATATCTCAAACTAGAAACTTAATGTCTAGACAGCTAAACTTGGATAAAAAGCAATCATCACATTACAGAAGTATTTGGTGCTGTTGTCAGCTTACAAAATTCCTGTTCTTTCAGGTCAGGATGTGCCAACCTCTTACTTGTATTGGCACAAGCCTGTGTGCAACCATGCTGAGAGAAAAATGAAAGAACTGATCCACTTGAGCAAATAATTTTGGGGAAAAGAAAAACGAAAAAGCAACCCCAAAACAACCACCTAAAACATCCTTCACATTTTTAAAACCATCCAGGTTCCCTAATGCAGTGTGAATGAACTGAATGCTGTGTCACTATACAAGTGCCGAAGATCAGGTTAGAACCAGCAGGTTATTCATTTATAAGGTATTTTTCTCATAAAAGAGATTGAATACTGCATATGAAGTTTTGTCACTGGCAAGAGCAAGACTGCTTTGGTCAAAGCTGAATGGGGCATTTAGAGGCTTTTCACTTGTGTCTTAATTTTCTGATCCTTTAGGATGACGTTGTTAACATTCAGTCAGTCAAATTTTGACCAATCCTTTGATTAGTTTAAGCTATAAAATCACAGTTTCCAGAAAAATTTAAAGAATGTAATGTTATTTTATTTATAAAAGTCTGCTTGTGTCCTCCATGGACACAAGTGGATGGATCTAGGACCCTACTCTAGCAGATGGTATTTCATGACGGAAAGATTTTCCTCAGTTTCACGGCTGGGAAGGGTGCAGGAGAATATGAGGAGCAAAGCTTGACATCTGTTTGAAGCAGTTTGTATTTAACTTTTTCCTAAATTTTACAAAGCTAGGACTTCAATTCAAAGATAGGAAAATAACTTTTTTTTCCCCCAAGCTTCCCTTATAAATCAAGTCAGCGCTACCTCTGTAAATGTGGTTAAAAGTCTTACCTGGTTAATCATGCAAGATTCCAGTTCTTCTTTTGTGACATTATTATGGCCCCTCTCCTTGCTCTGCAAAAAATAACAATTAGTTTTCCCTCAGTTGCGACCAATGAATGAATGTGGCCAAGGACTAGCATTAATAATGGTGATATTCCAAATAGCAGGCAACGAAAATGTGGAGTTGGGCCTTTAGGTACTTACTACAATCTGCATTTCAGAAGACAAACTAATTTAAGATAAATAAATCCATGAGGTTTAGGACTAGCGAAAGGACTATTACAAGCTTTCTGCAGGTTTGGGTCTTGATTTTGGAGTTCCAAATGATATTTCTCTGCACTCAGCATATCAGCAAGGTCTCTGCCTGAGATCTGATCTATCATCAGATACTTAGTAAAAGAGACTCAAAACAAGGTCATCTATTACACAAAATAGTTTTAGGAGATTCTCTCCTAGATACTTCCTTACAAATCTTGTAAAAGCAAAGTTTTCTGAAATCCTGGTAGTTCTGGCTGATTAAGAAACCTGTTTTAAAGTTCAAAAAATAATCTCAGATCTGTCTCCACAAGGATGGACCTTCTACCTTGGGAATTGCCTCCCTGAGGGGCAGTTCTCTTTCTGCTGTAACATAGGGGTGAGCCAGCAGAGAGCAGCCCTCCTCTCCTGCCCGTCTGTGAATTACCAGGAGCAGCACTTAGCAGAAGAGCAGGACCACACACCACTGTCACCACTGGGGATCACATGGTGAATGGAAGAGACAGAAGAAGTGACACTGCTATATGCATTTTCTGTGTTTCCTTTTTTATTTCTACATTAGTATCATTAGAAATCAAAACCTTGGATTAAGAATTTTTAAAGGATTTTATCTCAGGTTGAGTCATAAATGAATGACATCCTGACCACAAGAACCTCTGTGCCTTACTTTGTTGTACATTAATAGTTTTGATTATGAACAAATACTGATTTCTACATGCCAACATTAAAAAAAAAGCCTTTAATATTTTTACTCACTCTGTACCAGATAAATATTGTTTTAAAAGCATTTTCGTTAGAGCAGGATCCACAGGACATGGTGATAACCTGTGACAGACCCTTAGGAGCCACCTATCAAAGACAGAAAAAAATGTAGCAGAAGGTGAATATAATAATGAACAGTCATCAACTTAAATATAATGGGAGATCAAGTGAGTTTAGAAAAGAAAATAAAACCAAAAAAGATTCCAACTGCAGTTGAGACACTCACTCAGTTTCAACCACAAGGATATCCAAACTTAAATCAGGACCAGCAGAAGGCACTTATTACATTCTTTAAGAAATCACAATAAATAGAAGATGGAAAAAATATGTTTTGTCACCAGGTCTTGAATCAGGAGCAGAAGTGCAGAGCACTTGTCTGCTCCTTTCACATTCAGCTGTCAAGTCAGGGAAAAAGGTTTGACTTTTTACTTGCTGGTTCCAGTCTCTAGGAGGGAAGAAGGCAGGTGGACATTTAATCCATAATGCTACCTATTAAAATCTGTAACATCCCTTGACATGTCTGTGTCCCTAATCACAGAATACAGCAACACATCTTAAACTTACTGATAGCAAAGACTCTTTCAGTTTTTCTGCAAAGTTCTCTGGAGGTAAAATCCCTAGGGCAGGTCTGTTGATAAAGGTGCTCTAGAAAGACATAGAAAGAAAAAATATCTTTAGTATCACATGAAGAACATCACCATGTTGATATCAAGACATTTTCATTTAATTATAATTAAAAACAATAGTCCAAACATTTGCAGTCATGGCACAAGGGGCTGCGACTTTGATTATTTGCTTTCACAGTCAACTGACAATATCTGCGGTTAAGGAGAAAAATATATATTTTCTATGGTTCTTAATGACTTATGAAGTACTGAGAAAAGCAGAACACTGCTAATAAGCTGCTTTGGAATGGATGTATATTCTGTGTTTATATTAGCTGGCTATAAAGAGGCTACCTGGAATATTAAACCACAGAAACAAGCCCTGCAAAAAGGCACTGATCCCACTGCTGACAAGGATCAAGGGCCTCCCAGTGTCTCCGAGGCTCGTGTGCAAGAGGGATGTGTTATCCAGAGGCACCTGTCACTGCAGCTCAGTTGTACATAGCTCTGGCCCAGGTTTGCAGCTAAATCTCTGTGCACACACATCCAGGTACCATACACGTAAGCTAGTCAATTATAAGGCAGCTTTATTCTAAGTTTCTCTCATTTCAAACAGGTTGTTTCCAACGATTATTAGTAGACTATTACAGAAAATAGGCAGATACTTCATTTAAGCACTCACTAAGTTGTAACTTTGCTCTGAAATAATGACCTTGCCCTGCTCTAATTATTTTAATTTTTCAAGGATGTGACGGTAGATTTGTTAGCACCATCAGTAATCAAGCAAATGTGAACCAGCCACTAAAACAAAGCAAGTCCCTGCAAGTGAAATTTACAGCGTTCCAGATCTAAATCACTGTTTCCATATTCTGAACACTACATTCTCTCTCAAGGATTGTGTCAGATTCCAACAAAACAAAGACTTGCTTTCAGATTCAAGCATCTTCATTCAAGAACACAGCTGGAATAACTGATTGGACAGCCTATGCGTGAAGGAAGTACGATTTAAAACTCTGAAAATATATGAAGTGCTTCTGTCATCCACATTTTTACTTCTTGGAAATCTTCACAGATTTTTTAAATGTTTTCTAAGCACTACCAAGCTTTTATCATCTATTGAGAAATAAAGAGAGCAGATCCTATCATATTTCAAATGGATCCATCAAGCCATTTTATCACTTTAAGAGAAAATAAAAAAGACAACCACAAGGAGGGAGAGGATTCTTGCAAATGCCTGAAGTTGTACATCACTTACCAAGTTCTGTGGCTGCTGTAGAAGCTTTATCAGAGAAGGATGGCTATAACCTAATAAAAAAAAAACAAAACCAAAACAGTTCTTTCTGTGTTTTCAATAACACACTCAATGTAGAGGTAACCTTATTCAGATGTTTAACTCAATTTCTTTTTAACTTATACATGTCTTAAGTATTAATAATTGACCTCCTTGCAAAGTAGGACAATCATCTTTATAAAATATATTGCTATCTCTGACTTTGCAAGTCAGGCAATAGCAAAACATATTAAAAATGGAACACCAAAACGAAGTGAACATGACAGGAATCTTCTGCCTGCTTGAACCTCAGTGAAACAGCACTGTTAATACTGAGTATGCTGGGTCTGAAATTAAAATATGCTTACTCCTCATTCCAGGTTTTCCATGTAGAAGTGTTTGATTTCTCTTCTACATGACATAGAAATTTCTCAATAAAGAGTAGAAATAGCTTTCTGCCTGTGTTGCCTACAATTCTAGTCTCCTGACAATTTTTTTTCCCCTGGATTATCAGATAGATCATTCCTAGCACACTAAGAGTTTTTTGTTCCACTGTGATTTCTAACTGTTTGGATTTTCCTCATTGTAAAATCAATTTAGAAAGATGTACTCCCTCTCTTAGCCCATGCAGTTCCTCAGGCCTTGGCAGTCATAGGACAAACAAAAAATATGCGTACTGTTTTCCCTAAGAAGCTCATTTAGCTAATGTAACTTCATTGCATTATAATGTATTTAAGCACAAAATTAGGAAAAAAGTAAGTTAGGCCTTTTGGTTCCCCAGCAGATATAGCTGGACAGCGCAGGTTAATCTTTCTGACCAGCAGCAAGCAAAACCAGCACAAAGACATCGGCATCTTCCTCATCAGGGCTTCAGTTTTCACCCTTCCTAATAATGCTCCAGCAGGATCAGATCTTGCAGGTTTCATGGAAAAATGGGGGCTACGTGTTAGGAACAACAGGCCTCATTAGGTGGAACTGTTAGGTTCAAGCTGAACATGTGCCTGAAAACAAAAATCACACTCCAGTACAGCATTTCTAGTACAGCCAGAAATATTATAAAGTCTATAAACTGGTTTAATTTGATTTAATTTGCATTGTAGTTTCTTAGGAGCACCACTGCAATGCGAATGGAAGGGACGGCTGGTGCTTGGTGCTTAAGCACAGGCTGTCATTACAGAGGGGCAGTTAGAAGCACAAATAAAACAAGCAGCCAGTCTTTTTCTTCAAACCATTTGAAACCCAATTAATGATTTTATATCTGAGAACAATAACTTGAAGACAAAATCTTCTCTAAATTACCAGCAATAAAAGTGTAATGAAAAGACAGGGCGTCTTTACATTAGGCTGCTTCAGAAACAGATGTTTTAATAACAGCTTTTATGAAGGTTTTTTTCAACCATCAAGGCCTAAAGGTTTGTATCACTTTCTATATTGCAAACACCTCAAGCGAATCTATTAAAATGTTAACAGCCAACTCTTCAAACCTGAGTATGTGCTAAAAATGAGTGTCTTTACAGCGTGTGCATCACCCAGGCACTACCTGCTCCCACAGCCCGCAGTGCTACCTGCCGCAGTCCAGCCTGCGGAAGGGGCTCCAGGAAAACATGCACGTGGGCAAGGAATCGCCCTCGTCCTCCTTCCAAAGGAAAGGAGGGACCTTCCGAGCGCCCCTCTCCTCCACAGGGAGGGTTTTTTCCGCTTTCACTCTCAGAGACCAAATTCAATTCTCATTTCTCAGCTACTCTGTCAAGTGTCAGGCCAGGTTAGATAGAGAGATTTCAAAACTGCTGCCATGTCAAAACTGCTTTCCCTCCTAGCATGAAACCTCCTTAAGCTGCCATTTTTTACTTTCCTGCTGCTTCTTTTGTGCCCCCCTTTTTTTTTTCTTTTTTAAAATCATTCTTCCTTTGTTATGTAACCCTAAAATTTTCTGATTCCCAATACCCAAGCTGGATGTTTTATTTTTTGTTTATTTACAGCTATTAGATTTGTCCTCTAAAAAGTCTGTATTTAATGTTTTCCTTTGGAGAAGTCAGTGTTATGAGTTGTTTTATCTGCTGGTCTCCCAAGAGGATCATGAAAAAACATGTGTAAACTCTGGTCAAAGGTCCTGCCTTGACATTAGAGTATTTCACATATGAGATCCCACATGAATTTACAGACCCATGAATCAAGAGATGAATTACATGCAGTTTAACACTCTGTAAAGCACAGCTATCTGAGTGCAAATATAATTTGGGGAAGAGAGTGGAATAAAGAGCATACTGTGAAAAAAGTGTAAATCTGCCTATGAAGATATTAGACCAAAATACACTTTCACAGTTATGAAGATTTATTTGTGATTATTCATTAGCTGTTGGGGAAGATCATCAAGAATGAGCACATTACCGGAAGCTTTTGCTGCTACCAAGGGATTACAGATACTAATTCAAATATAAACCAGCTAGGCACAGAGCAGAGACTTTCCTACCTGCAGAAAGTGCTTCTCATGCCCTGCCAACCACTGCCTCAGGACGGCCACCACGGTGGTTCAAATGTTACCAGACCTGCAGGTTTGCTCTAACATTAGCTCTGGCATTTCCAAGTACAGGACTTTGCTTTAACAAACTTTAATTAAAAGAAGATGCAATGGGCTGTCCTTTTCACCTAGAAACTCTAAGACGTTAAGGATGCTTCCAGGATGACTAAGGACACTTAACCTACAATTATGAAGATCTGCTGAGATAATTGGCTTATTTATGGGTAGATTAATGTAAACCACTGTATTCATCAATGGAGCCCAGGAAATTTTATTCTAAACCTGAGTTTATGACACACCAAAGCCAGAGACTAAGACCATCTTTTATATCCCCTTGTAGATTCAGCTGGAAACCTCATCTTCCCTGCTACTCGAGAAATGAAGACTGCTCTAATTTTGTCCCAAAGCTGCTGAACTCCTCCTTCAAGCTAAACGACAACCACTGCTCCCACCCAAGCGACGCGGCATTGGGCTACCAGGGCAACAAACCAATTATCAATTCCATTTAAAGTAGTTAGCTCAAAACAAGCAAAGTCTCCACCTCATTTTCTCTGCATGTCATGCTGCAGAGAACCTGTCAAGATTATTATGAAGATAATACAAGCAGTTATTTGGACGCAGACAGTTAAACCTGCATCTCCTTGTCAAAGGAAGAACTGCAGGTAGGTTAGAGGGAACAGCACAGCGAGGGGCTACTGTTGAGAGCCCCTCAGAGTCTACGTACGCCTGAGAAATCTCCACATTTAGCCTTAGAGAAGTTGTCATAAACAACTACCATTGCCTCAGAAGCTTCGTCATTAATCCTGCTTGCAAAAAATGTGCAGTTGTGCTTATGGTATTGAGATAGCATGAAAAATGCAGAGACTTTTGCATCTTTTCTTATGTAATGTAAATTCAAGGCTTCTACCACTCCTAATTTGTCTCCTCCCATCCATACAAGACTCCCCTTTTGCTTCATTTCATGCCAAGGCTCTTGGTCCTCTTCCTAACATTACCCATAATAAATCTTACTGGTATTTCCTCATACAGACTCCAGTAAAATAACACAGAATCCTTGAAGTTTGACTCTCTGAAAGAGCAGATCAGCATGTAGAAAGATGCTGAACTGTTAGGTAGCTTTATATCCTTAAAATTAACAGCAGGATGAACTATAAGGTTAGATAACCATTACGTAACTATTACAAACAAGTCAAAAAGCTTTAGCCTCGGAGGGCAACAGAAAATACCTTGTTCCCTGCCAGGAGCAGCACAGGGCACTGCAGCTTTGAGAAGCCACTCGTATAAGATCTGACAGAGCTGGCTGTAAAAGAAGGGCACCTGCTTCATCACTCTGGCTGCCTGCCGATGTGACAGAGCAGTGCACATCCTGCATGCGCAGGTAGGTCCCCATTCGCAATAGGAAAATGAAAGCTGCTAAAATTATTAGAGAAAGCCCTAAGAACCCATTTGAACTGAACACCAGGCGGAGCCCCAAACTGGCCAGCTACAGCTACGGAATCCCCTGAACAAAAACAGTCATTGCCAATACTCAGCAAAAGAATATTCACTTGCTATTCCAGATGGTGGAATACAGGTCGACATCTTAACAGGATTCATCATTACATTTTGGCTCCATAGGTTTTTAATTCTATTAGATAATTAGACACAGGTTAAAAGAAATGTTACAATTCTCTCCACAATTCTTGGTTCTCACCAAGAAAAGTCCTGACTATTTTTGCCAAGGGTCTTTCTAACCTCACTCCTCATCCCTGCACAGGCACTGCTACCTCTCAGCCTCTACAGATAAATAAATTCTAGTGTAGCGGATCATTATCAAATCTTGTGCAGTCCTGATGGACTCAAAAACATTTTATTTAATTTCCTTGTGAAGAGAACCACAGACAACCAGCACCTTGACCTGAAAACATCAGATCACCTAGAATTCTCACCACGACTTTTGTCCCGGCGGCCCAATCTAGAATGTAACTTTACCACTGAGAACAACAGTATTAGCAACATCTGCAGCCTCGAATAATTTTGTCATTCTGTTCAAAAAGAAAAGGATTAATACTGTATGTTCAGTTAGATTGAGGTTAGCCTGTAAGTACTTGTTGCTGCACTTTATGGATCCATGCCCTACATGGATCCACAGTTGCTAGACGAGGAGCAAGTTCTCTAGGGGAAAGAGCTCCTCCTCACAAGGGCATTGCCTTATACCAAAGAAGAGCTTGGCTTCACTGAGCATCTTTTATATCTATACCAGCTTTTTCAATCAACCGGAGAAAAGGAAACTTAGAAGCCTCTGCTATTACATAGCATGACTGAATAGGTATCTCAGGTAAGTTAACAGATCTCAGCCCACTTCTGGTCACATACTGTGCACCTCTAATAGCAGTGCACATATGAGCAGTCAGATTTTTAGACAATTCTAACCAAATTAGGCATTATTCCAACAAATGAACTGATCTTCCGGACTGATTAGAATTGATTGCAAGTTTAATTTAAATGATTAACCATATCTCAGGCAATATATTCATACGCTTTTGAAATTCACTCTGACTGAATCCATATAATGGACTAACTGTACTCTCATTTTCATGGCTTGGGCAGAAGTGCCTGGGAATGGAGTGTGCAGACAGTGAACATCCGGCCTCAACTTGATTCACAGATAAATCTAATGTTACCAGGAACTGTATTTTTGCCACCTTATCTCTTGTCAGTCTATCTACAATCTTTTCTCCACTACTAAATTCATTTACAAGCTTTATTTTCCTTATCAGCTAACAAGATGTGTACTGTATTTCTGCGAATCTCACTTCCTCACTACCTACCAGCATCCAGATGTATTTTCAGTAGCTGTCCAACACACTTTGCATTTTATTTCTTGAATACTGTGCTTTGACAAAAGGTTAGCGATCAAAGGCGAGAAGGGGAGCATATTCAAATTAAGATTAATATTACAGCTTCTTCCAGGTATCACTATGTGCCTCAGGTGAGCTGTAAACATTGAATTTTAACCTAGCTTTTCCAGATACTGAAGCATTCTACTGGATACGCAGCGGTGAGGTCTGCAAAACCTGACTGCAGTGAGGCATTTATGATGTTGGCTAGTTCTCTAGTAGCAGCTGGGAGAAGAAAACAACAAAACAACAGCTTGAGAATGAAGCAAATGTATTGGTGCATCAGTCTCCTACCTATTGGGACGGATGAAATCTGAGAGTAGAGATCCAGCATGCGATTGCCATCTACGTCTACTAGGTAGTTCCCTCGGCTCTCTTCATAATTGCAAAAAAAGTGTACGGCTTCGGCATTCTTAAAGGAAAAAAAAAAAAAGCAAAGAAATTAATATTTTAAGAAGTAGAATAGTCCTTGCAGTGTGAGGGAAGGCCCAACTAATGGATATACTGAAATTTCTGACATAAAGATCTAATAATAATAATATATAAAGACATTTTATATGAATATTAGGGAATTTACTGTAGAACAGTTTTTATAAAGAGGGACTGCTAAAAATAATCTGTCCTAAGGTAAAAAAGAGGCAGAAAATTGCGCATTTCCAAAACCTATCAGTTGAAAAACATATATTACTTTGAACAACTGTGACAATGAATGCGAATTAAACACATTCAATAACAGTGATTTAAATAAGTCTGCCAGTCCTCAGTAACTACATAGTTTCAGACCTGAAAATGGAATTCAGCTATACAATGAGCTCATTATAATGTTTAGAATTACAAAAAAAAAAAAAAAAGCACTCATATCAGGCTGCAAGTTTTTTCATTATGGAAAGTGCAGAAATTTAATGCAAGCATGCACTTTTTTCTACATAAAGTCAAACACAGACTTACAGAATTGCTGTTCATGGGAAGGCAACATACAGACTGGCCTACTTTTAAGTTCAGATATATCTATGTTCTTACTGCCACTTCATAACAATCCAAAATGACAAACACTGTATAAACCTGAAGTGGTTAAAGTGATTGATCCTATCAAAATAATTCTGCAGTATTTAAAATAGAAAATAAAATATTTTATTTGAATGCACATACATAGCAATTGTAATATACCAGGCATTCAAACACAGATTCAGATATTTCTGTATTTTTTTTTGTATGAAATTAAATATACCAGGAAAACTAGATTTGAAATCACAGTAGCAACACCTCCTTGCACAAATTCAAGGGAATTTGACAGATTACCTGAATTCCGTTCAGTTGTTTCATTAATTCCTGTTAAAAAAAAACAAAGGTCAGAGAGCCTCATGTTTGTACTTATCAAATAGTAAAGAATATATATATGTTTATTTTATATGACCACACAAACTGCATGCAAGACTTGCCATCCTTTGTGCTTTCCAGGAAACTCTACCTGCCACATGAAATTTCATAATGCGTCTTGCAAACATGACAGTTAAAAACATGACAGAGACAGATGGACAGAAACGTTTGTCCTCTTTCTAGGTTTTCATTCTCAGTATCCTGGTAGAAGTAGACATAGACTGTTGTGAAATGATGTATCAGGTTTAAGGTTTGAAATAAAACTTGTTTTGCATCAAGTCAAAGACAGCTAGAGGAAAAAAGACGTCTCTAGACTTTGGAAACTTACCCTAGATCGTGGCCCAGGAACTTCTGTCTTCATTAGAGGTCCATCATAATCAAAGTCCACATCAATTTTAGCAGCAGCTTGACTGATGCACCTGTGTCCTGCAGGAAACAACAAAACACTGAGTTAAAGACTATATTTTCTGGATTCTCCTCGCAGAGTAAATAGCCAGACTTTACCTGAGTGCAAATGCTTGAAGGATGAGACCAGCCACATTGTCCTGTCTGAAGGGAGCTAAACATATAATCTCAGGCAAACTAGTATCAGACAGATTTAAAAAAAAATAAATAAATTGGATGAAATAACAATACAACCCTGGAGAATGGGGTCAAAACCTACTGTGAGGAACAGGAAGACACATCTGTTTCCATCTTTGTTGTTGTGCATTACACCTTGGGCAAGGCTTTGCCTTAAATCTCCTCATCCATGAGCAGAGAGCAGGGGCTCGCTGTCAGTAATAACAGAAAAGCTGGAGGGAGGTTGTAGGTAAACTCATTACAACATTTTACACCAGCTGGAGGAACAGCACTTGAGAAAAAAGATTTGTGCCTCAGAAAGGGAAATGGCTGAGTTTAAACTAAATTTAAAAAAAAATCTCACAGGAATCTGGCAATTTGCACTGCAGCTGGGTCTAAACAGTGAGTTTTTACTCTGACCCGTGACTGAGCTGCTGCTCTTCCCCCACACTTATAATGGAAGAATGACAATAAACCTGACACCTGCAATGAAACCAGCAGGCAGAGATGGCTCAGGCCTCGGCAGCAACAAGCTCTGTTCTCATTTGTGTTGCAAGTACTCCAAAAGAGAGACCTATGACATTGCAGTGACCTGTGCAGTGACAGAGTATGAGCTGGTTCCATGCACTACAATTAAGTGTAGAGCCAAACTAACTAAATTAACCATTTCACCTGCAAAGCTACAGACTAACTAAACTTACCATCCTAGTGCCACACTTGCACTAGATCAGCACCTGAAAGATGATTCATAATCTGTTTTAGTCTGTGATGGGCTTTTCTGCTAGGTGCAGCTCTCAAAACAAAGACCCTTAACTCCCTTTTTCACCACGGGAAAGTTGAGTATTCTCGGATGCAATTACTGAGCGCCTAGTTCTCTGCTGGAAGTTGGCAATAGGAGAGCTTGCCTGGGGCTCAGCACAGCTCAGGAGGGTGACAGAGCACTGGAACAGCCTGCCCAGAGGTTTCGGAGCCTCCTTCTCTGGAGATCTTCCAAACCCGCTTGGACGCAGTTGTGTGCCATGTGCTCTAGGTGACTCTGCGTGTGCAGGGGGGTTGGACTAGATGACCTCTATAGGTCCCTTCCAACCTTAAGGATTCTGTGATTCTGTGGAGTCCCCATTCCCCAGCATCCCCCGGTGCCGCACAGCGCTGCCAGCCACTGCGGTGACACCAGACAGTAGAGACCGAGCACTCCGGCAAGGGAGGCAGGTGGGATCCAGGCAAGCACCCGAGAGCAGGGAAAGCCGCAGGGTGCAGAGTTTCCAGCCCGGAGTCCTGGAGAGCACCGTCTCCGAGCGCAGTGCGCGCCAGCCCCGAGGAGGCCGGGCAGCATCAGCTCTTTGCACTTCATCCCGAGTGGCCTCTCACACCCCTGGTGCGATTTCAAAAACTAACTGGAAACATTTTTTATTAAGCCACAGGCTGAACTGGCTTGAGCAAGCCTGACCTTCCAGAAAGTGCCGAATCTTTACCTGGAAATCCCTGCCCTTTAGAAGCATCCCTAGCTAAATCCCCAGATTCACTGCTGAGTTTGGGAAATCGGGTCTGCAAAGATTCCTCCTTTACCCTCTCCTCACCGCAGTTAACTCCTAAACACTACAGTCCCCAGCACTGCCTTTTACTGCCTGCATTCAGCAAGCCATAAAAGCTGGTGATTTCATATAAAGTCTATACTGTACAACAAATACTGCATTATAAGGCCATTCCCTTTTTAAAGCAGTTTATGTGCTCCAGTATATCTATATACCACATCCCCAAGGTCATATCTACCCGACCAAACACAGCGCGGGACCAGGAAGCGGCTCAGCCACATTCCTGACTTGTGCTCAAGGGAAAAGCTGGGCCTCCCAATGGAGCTGGTGGGACTGGACTCAACAGGTGGCTGGTGAAGCTACATTGGTTGCCAAGAGTGCTTGAATGGATAACATGAAGCATGGATAACATTCCCTTTCCTTAAAATGGCAATTTCCAAAATATTTTAACAGAAGAGAAATCTAAAATAAACAAAATCTGAAATATCTGTTTTATTTTCTGAGAAAATTCTGCTGTGGATATTACAAAAGGAGCAGCTTCTCGTCCGAAAGGACAGACATTCACAGAGCCTCACAGTAGGGGAGGGAACTGGTAAATACTTTACTGCTCTCCTAGCTTTTTTTATTTTAACAGCACTAGCCAAGAAGAGCTTTCTTCTATCCAGACTATTAATTAAAAAAAAATAATGAGAAGGAAACAAAATCAATATTGGATATCCACCTTCTTTGGAGCAGGAACTAAAACTACTCTGGAAATCAGGCCTGCCCAAAGGCTGAATTTTACTAAAATAATGCATTTGTGTTTACTAAGAATACACAGACACCCATGTCAATGATATTAAGAATTGGGTGTAGATGATGGATCCATTTCAAGAATGGAAATTCTTGGAAATGGAAATTTAATCCTAAAAACAACAGTCTCACATCCACCCACGGCAAGAACCTACCGCACTTTAAAGGAGGAATCCTGGTGCTGAGGGAGCAGGGAAGAGATTGACCTCGCACAAATGCTCAGTAGAGCAGCCAAGACCATAAAAGACCATCATCATCATCATCTTATTACTGCTTGTGCAAAAGCCTCTCGGACTAGGTATTTGCTGAGGGCACATCTGAGTGATTTACGAACAAGCAGAACTTGGCTGTGCAGCGCTGCGGCAGTTCTCACCAGCACAGCTCCCGCGCATCCGAACGGACAGGCTGTCAAACGCAGCAAAGATCGGCCAAGTGAAACCAAAACATGCAAATGCCCTCAGAAGAAAAGTGCTGCTTTAAGGATTTCTAATCAAAATGTCAACATTGGACAATTTGTGAGACAGATTATTCTTTTAAACAACAGTTTCAGAAGCAGCTCATCCAACCACAATCATTTTCAGTGAGTCAGTGACCCAGAACCACGTAAAAATGAGCAAGGCAAAATTTGCTTGTTATCTTCTAAAACTTGCTGCACTTCATTATTTCCAACAGAAAGTGATTTCTAGGCTGATTCGCTGATACAAATTTGATTTTATACTTGTTTTCAGAAGCCCACAGAGTATTTTATTTTGTTAACGCTTGTATAATGACAGCTTAACTGATCTATTGGTTCTTACATTTCCCAAGGAGTTGTTCTACCTCATAGCTCAGGAAAACCTTATGGTTTGAATTTACCTTTTACCCTCTCTGAATCTACTGGCCATAAGCAAATGAAAATGGCCTGTGTTACCACAAAGGATCTTGAAATGCAATTTTTTCTTCCTCCTAGGTAGAGGATAAAAAGACTAGAAAACTAGAAACTAGAAAAAAAATTAAAAAAAAGCCTCAACATACTAGCAGGGCCTTTGATAGTCAGAACCAAAAAATAAAAGTGCTGTTAATTCTTCTCTCTTTTTCTTTTTTTTTTCCCCCTCTTTGAGGAAGTATAATATAAATGATGGGCACACGCTCACACTATTTCTAGTAAGGTCAGGATGGATTTATTCCAAGTACTCTAGTCATCAGATCCCCATACTTGTTCTAACGGTTGGTTAAAGCAAACAAACAAAAATGCCAAACCCTGAGAACCTAAATTGCAAGATCACAAAAACGGCCCCCCTTTCTTTTCTGCTCTTCTGTTTTCCTTTCCCTCCACATTTTTTTTTCTTTCTTCAACTCCAGTTCAAGTACATTTGGACTCTGGATATAACTATTAAAAGGTCAGTTCCAGTGCAGAGATCAGTCTGAGATGTACTAGCACACACGAGTCACTGGCAAACACACAAGCAAAGACACCTCCTGACAACCACCTTGCACACCTTGACAAACAGAAAAGAAGATTTTCAAACTACCTCAGAGTTCAGGGACCTAGTCACCAAATGCTCAGGAAAACAGTCCCACCTCTACAGAAACGAAATTCCAGGAAAACAGTCCCACCTCTACAGAAACGAAATTCCAGACGAGGTCCAGGAACTCCCACAAACATCACAGGGTGTTTGAGAGGTTGAGAGGAACCCGTGGCTGATACTTAAGTTGAGAGGAACCTGCGGAGATCACCTCATCTGGTGTCCAGCATTAGTTACTCCAGCACCTTCCCAGGGACCGAGGGGATGCAGAGCAGCCTGCAGTTCCCTGGGTTCTTCCTTCTTGCCCTTCTTGAGGACTGGGGTGACTTTGCTTTCCTCTGAAGGCTTTTCCAAGTTCTACACAACTCGCACAATCCTTCTAAACGCTTCAGTAGTGTTAGCAAACTAGGGCTTCCTTCTGTTTCATGTGACAGGATGCCATCCTTTCCCAGTAGAGAGAAAAGTACATTTTCTAATTGATGTTTTCTAAGCTACCCTCACCACTCCTCAGACACCTCACTCAGCAGTTTTGCTATAGCAACACAGCTAACACAAGGGCACCCTTTTAACTTTTTGCCCTATTAGTGGTCACAGAAAGTGCTAATGGTAGTGCTAAGTAAGGTCCAGTAGTGACCTATTCCAACAAGAGCTAGGTTCAGGCCTAGAAAGAAGGTGCTTAACCCCTGACAACTCTGACAAAAAATGACACTCATATGAAGACAGTTGCTGACTGTACAACTGGATATGAGCTGGGAGAAGTTCCAATGGAAGTAATGAAGTTAGATCAGTGTAATCCAGAGGATAAAAGAGAGGAAAGGAAGGGTACTGGCTGGCACATCGGATCTTTCAGACTGAAGATACCCAGTCCCATAGTATTGCTCCTCATGCAGGTGCAGAAAGGAGGTCTCCTCTGAGTGTCTAGAGCTTCAAATTTACATCTGTGCTCCATAGAGGCCATTGAACAACCTTCCAGACAGAAGTCTGGGAGTGCGGAGGCTCTGACTGCCAAAAGGAGGAGGTCTGATTTTCCCCAAATCCTCTTTGGGTGCTGCAAGGAGAATCTGTCACTAGCAGATCTTGACAGTGAATGGCAAAAGGCCAGGCTAACTGGAGTTGTTTAGAAAGTGAACATTGCTATTGAATAATATTGTGAAAACTGAGGCTGCTATTTAGAGAGTGCTTATGCTGTAAGACTAGAAGCTGCCGCACATGAGGGTGTCCGTATTGCAGCACTCCTACGCACAGATGAGGTTTTATGGAAACAGGATTCCCTCATGAGCATGAACAAACTTGATACTCAACAGACTGTAGAATCACAGGATCATTAAGGTTGGAAGGGACTGTTAGAGATCATCCAGTCCACCCTCTACATAAGTGAAAGCTCCCATGAGAAGGAGGAAAGCCCAGTTCCTCCCTCAACCTCACCACAGCTCCAAAACAACCTTTCAGCAGAGTGACGGGAACATAAAACTGCTGGTTCTCTGGGAGATTCCCTGAATTTATTTTTCTTTCTTTCTTTTTTTTTTGGGGGGGTGGGGGGAGAACACAGGGATAGACTCTTCCTGTTGCCATGATATTCTATGGGAACTCCGAACATTGAAGCTTATTAAAGTAAAAAGTCTTGGGAATATTACGCACAGGTAGGACTGAAAATATGCAGTTTTCAAGACTTTGTAACTTCTTTTCGGATATTTGCAACGAGGCCAAGCAAATAATTAATATGAACATAAAAGTGCAGAGAATCTGGAAGAGAACAACTGGACCCAAGAGGGAAGACTGAAACGTCATTTAGACCAGTTCAGACGAGCACAAGGCGCTGGCGGAGGCAATAGCTTTCCAGTATGTAAAAGGATGTTTGCTGGGAGCGGCAGGGAGAGCAAGTCCAGTATCCAGGTCCATGCAGGGCAGGACAAATAGTAAGGAGTTGATTTTCTTTTTCCCCTTATTGAAATTTGCATTAGGAAAATTAGGAAGCGTTAGGAAAAAGCTTTAATGGGAAGGTCAGCAACAGACCAGCTTGCCTGCATCTCAGAAGGGTATGTGCATGAGGTAACATCAATTGATGCTACCTAAAAGTAGAAGACAGACATTTTGCATTCTTTTCAGATCAGACTGAAAGACGAGTTCAAGCCCCCAGGGTAATCAGCACAAAACTGAGCACAGATCTCGAAAGTCCAGCTTATCCTACCTTAGAAGTATGAAAATGGAACAGCTTTCCTCCTGTAGAGCCACAATTGATAAAATCTGAGTTAGCACAAAGCAGAATAAATATTTAGATTTAGAACTATCAATTGTAGTCTGTGTGCAGAACTCTGTAGTGGTGATAGCAATAGAACTCAATGCAGACAATAAAGTAACACCTAGATTGGCCATTATTCCTCTAACATCAGCAATCTCATGGATTTGCTTGAATGTTCCTATACCCAGAGCACTAAGCAAGATTCCTCCGGTATATCTGATATAAAGCCAATTTCCCAGTGTACTCAGTCTATCATCGCTCTTCTGCAGTCACTTGATTTCCAGTAAATCATCTGCTCGGGGACAAACTGACAAGTTAATCAAGTACAGAAAACAAAAACAAAACAGATACCCGATTAAGACTTATCTGTAAGTAAGGCATAAGGACTCAAAATACTTACAAGATTACACATTTTTGGGCAAGATTTAACTTGAATTTTACTTTGATACGCTTTGCTTAGCTTTTGCATTTTAATCAGCTTGATCAGCAAAAGATTTTAAATTTTCTCTTTCTAGTTAGCTTATCATGGACTAGCACTATACTTGGATCAAGAACACCACAAGCAATGAAGCAGTGGTCAAATTAAAAGACTCTCCAGGTCATGTTACAGAAGAGCTCCGATAACTTGAAATCCATCTTAATGAAACATTGTCCCACACATATTGCCAAAGGAAAAGTTCCTAGAAATATTTTGATTAATATCAAGTTTTGTTACATTTCTTCCCACATGTTTTACAATAGTGAGCCTAAGTCTAGCTCTTCAGCCTATATGAACTTCTCTCACAAAACAATCTATTCTTTCCATTCCCAATTCTCCCTAGCAAATCCTGCCACTTCAGCATCTAAACATCAGCTGACCAAAATTGCAGGAGTTTCATGGGAGTAGGTGTGAGTCTATTTTTTAGTCTGTGTAACTGTGAGCTTATGTGCTCAAAAAACACCTTAGTGGTGTGCATTCTGGAGCAGAAAATTCTGGGATGTTCCTTTTGGCATTTTCCTAAAAATGAGCAAACTGGTGAAACTAAGACTTGGCTGGGATTCATCAGGGAAATAAGCGAAGCTTGAATCTTTGCTACAAGTGTCAAAAATCCTGCTGCCTGCTTGGTCAGATGAGAACTTTGCAGGCTAAGAATCTGCAGGGGACAGTTCCTGCTGGTGCTGTGTCCCAGTCTCTGCAGACCCGTGCACAAAACAGTTAGCCCCAGGGCTCACAGGTCTGCTGTATACCTGCAATCAGGGCCCTCCAGTCTCCTCTTCAGTATTTTAACAGGCTTTTCCACTTACAAATTCCTGGACTCACGGCTGGATTAATGGAGCCTCAAATTGCCTTCATTTCTCATTGAAGATTTACACGTCTTCATTATAACAGTGAGAAGAAAAGGGGCAGGTTGCGTCTTTGCCTTTCATCCCAGGCATCTCAAGCGTTTTTCACACCTTTGATACATTTGTCTGGTTGGGAAGCAACATAAAAGTGTGCAAGACACTGTACAGGAAAGGGAATACATAGGAAATACTGAGATGAGAGATTCATTCAAAGGACTGACAACTATCAGGGCTGGTTGCTGCAAGCACTTTCCATTGCCCACTATTGACCAGCCCAGCTCAGACATCCAGTGCGTCACTACCAGAAATAGAACCGTATCCTGCATTGAAACATTGACTTAATGCTTCTCTAACAGTTACAAGACTAGATTTTGTATACTTCAACCCAAAAGGCCAGCTGCTCCCCAAAGTACATTATTTAAAGGAAAATAGATGGTACTTAAGTTCGTGAGAGAGTGGAAATGTTTATTGTTTGTCTGGCTGCACAGCAGCGTAACAGAGGGAGGCTGGAGGAAAGAAGAGGCATCACCACTTACCAACTCACAGGAAAAGTCATTCAGGCATGTTGTACTCAGCAGAACACTACATAAAACAGGTGCTAGATCTCCAGTTTCAAATTTATTTGGAAAACAAAAACGAAAGCCTCATTTAAAGCACGAGCAGAGACTGCAGGTTTAATGTACACGAAGACATACATGTAAAATTACAAGCCAGGGCCAAGCCAGAACTTGTCATTACACACTTAGGAGGAAGTAGCTTGACATTCTGTGGTGCTTTATTTTTATTTTGAAATAGAACAAACTGCCGGCAGAAACGGACACCTACAATAAGGGCCACTTCTTCCACTGCATTATATAAAACCTCTCAGGATTTCCACCTGGAGATGGGCAGAGTCACACAGCATTAAGCACAAAGAATAATGAGGCTGATTTTGACGAGTGAGTTTTTCATCTCAGCACCAGGCAGCATCAGAAAACAGCTGTGTAAAAGCAAAGTTCCAAGAGTGGAAGAGCTTTGTTGCATTTAGAACATTTTACAGCATAAATTAGCCCCCAAGTAAGGATTTCTCCCATAGGTTGTTGAGTTAAAAAGGAAAGATCCATCCTTGTGGGCTACTTCTGAAATATCAGTGCCTCATGGCCCAAGATGCAGAACACCACTGTAGTCTTCAAAATTTGAAAGATTCAGTGCTACCAAACTGAGCAATAGCCACGGGAATCTTCACTAGCACCTAGTGAGCACTTACCAACTGCAAACAGCCTGGAGTTTTGCCTCAGACAACAGGTCAGCTGCCGACTAAGCAACATTGATGCCATTTTGTCAAAAACACTGAGTCTTCAGAGTTTTCTTTCCAGATGATGTTCTGAAAAATAAAACAAAACATTTATGTGCCTATGCATGGAGCTACCATTACTATGCCATTGATTTCAATTTTCCTTTTCGCTAATTCAAATCCAAAGAAACTGTGAAGATGGTTTGATGGATTGCTGCTCATGTCCTAAAGAGTCTCAAAATTAAAACCAGTTTCAAGATAAAAAGTTTGAAGCTAAATCCTGCTGAGGTGCCTCAAGCTAAATCCAGGCTAAATCTGTATCCCTCAGCCTTACTGAGGTGAAGAGGTAAAGATCATCTCCCATTCCTCCTGTTCTGCTCTGCTGTGTTTTGCAGTAGCTGTAATTAACATTTTATAAATTGTTTCCAGTCACATTCTTGTGTCAATGCGTCCTTTGTTTACAAAACAAACAAACAAAAAAAAAACATGCAAGGTAAAAAGACTGTGGGGCTAATATTAGGAAATAAGAGGCAACTCTGAAATGAATGAAAGAAACAAACCAAAACCCCAACATTTTATAGAGTAATCCACAGTTCTATGAATGGAGACTGAGGGAGCCAGGATTGCCTAGCTTGAAGAGATGATGGCTCGATGGAGGGCAACTAATCAGGATGTATATATATCTGATGGGAGGAGATGACCAAGCCAGACTCTTCTCAGTGGTATCCAGTGACAGGACAAAAGGCAAAGGGCATAAACTGAAATACAAGAAGTTGTGTTTAAAGATAAGCAAAAGTTTTTTTTAGTGCATAGATGATCTAACACTGGGAGACAGTCCTAGAGCAGTCACAGGATCTCCAAGCCCAACTGGACCCAGCTCTATCTCATCCCGGTAAAGCTAAACAAGCTTGCCGTGTCCAGGCTCCCAAATGACAACATGCCTCTCTGCTCTGGATCACCTGCACAGAAAGTCTGGCTGGAAGATGCACATGGACAACACAGTTATTAATATACTCAGCATGCTGTTTAAATTCAAATTTGGTGCTTGAGACCCTGGGATCCTGCACCAGATCTCCTAGGGGCACCAGAGGTTCTGTTTGTCTAGACACAGACTAAGCTAAGCCGGTGTTTGGCTCCTCATCTGACGTCTCCTTCACCGAGAGGGTAGAGGCTATTCCCTCATAACAGATGACCCACAGTTCAAAGGAGACATCACTATTATCCATAAACCTCCTGGCAAACAGCAGTATATCGTGAATAAGCGCTGAGAACACAGGTGCTCTTCCATCATACAAAGATCATTTACTGCTCACGTCACTTGTATTCCTTCCCCAAATATGCAAACAGATGCTGATGACTAGATGCTAGGCAGTACTTCATCTATTGCTGCCACGATAGAAAGTATTTCTTACCCAACATTAATAGTTCAGATGTTTAATTTCTGTATTATCCTTAGCTAAGACAGCAGTTGTTTTCCTTCACACTTGAGTTTTTTTCAGAATTGGCAAAATAAAAACTCGTTGCCCACGGCCATCTATTAATCCTGACTGCACTGCTTGGTGCAAAGAAAGCTCCCTGGGCCTTGCCAGACGAATCAACCCACACTTGGTTTCACTCAGTTTGCCACTTAAAATCCAGCGCAGCCTGAAATCCGCCAAGGTGAGCAAACACTGGCGCAACATCCGCGCGCACGCTGCACAACGCTGTGCTCGCTCTGGAAGCTTGGGGTCAGAAGCACGGGAGGGGGAGTTGCTCTGTACAGAAGAGAGTTATAAATCAAGTTTTGGTTAATTGATCCATTAATATTTTCACTTTTGGCTCCTCTCCCGAGTCGCGCTAGTCTTTGCAAAATTGATGTATGAAGAGACTTTCTCACCTCAAGATCATTCTGCAAACATGACTCTGGCCAGCGAGGACACCAATGCCACAAGGAGCTGCTCAGCAGCAAAGGGACCCAGCACCTCTCACAATGATTAACCACCGGCACATCCTCTGCCCACAACTATTTATCTGGATTCTAATTCCCTCCTTACGTTTGCTCTGCAAGATATTACCTTTTAAAAGTTTCTAGTAACCCATTAAAAGTTAACTTGAACAGAGCTTTGCAGAAACAAGCAGAAGGGGTAGCGGAAACGCACTTGGGACAAAAGGCTTTAGCTTGAAACATGATATTTATAAAAGGCTCAACTTCATATTTTGATATGGTTCTGTCTTTCTGAAATATTCCTAGAAAACAAATTATTGCAAGACGTTTAAACAACAAAACAGCTTAGCCTTAATTTTCCTATATTTGTTATCTAAAAAGTTCCTAGCCTGCAGTCAGAGCAAATCATGCAGCATCAGATTTGGGTATAGCCAAAATCAGCTTCACTTCTGTCTCCACGGAGCACAGAACTTCGCATACAAGATGACCTGGCACGATCAATATATCCGCTATTTCAGTATCCCAATTTTATTAACCTAATAAACCAACAAAATTTTGACTTCGTTCACTCCTTGACCAAGTCCCACTGGCTTCTTGTTGCCAACAGCAGTGGAAGATCTTGGAAATCATTCAGAACTGGTTCCAGGGCACATGCCAAAACTACAGGAAACAACGAGACACTTTTTCACCACTGCTACTTAGAACAAAGTCCAGTCTCAGATCTGTTAGGCAAAATATCTCCATCAGCTTGAGATATCAGATGGCAAAGTGTGTGTTGAAATACAATTGTTTGATTTAGGATTAAACGCCGGCCACTTTGGGCCTCAGAAAAGCGAGATTTCTGCAGAGAACAAGATTGACAAAACTCTTCTCTGGGTATCTTCCCTCTAAGTGCAACCGTCTGAGCCACATATGGCCACTGCTGCAGATGACTGTACAGAACAGCTACCCCACGGTGGCTGCTGCAGACATTAATTTTGCAGCTACGCTGTTCGTTTTGTGAGCACACGCACTGCTGCTTTGTGCCTTAAACTGCATTTGCCGTTCTTCTGGTACAGAAAATTGTTTTCAAGAAGGAAGTTCAGAACAGTTTACAGAGCACATGAAATATGAAGATATGTGGATCTTCTAATGCGCAAAGAGTGGAAAATCAGGAAAAAAAAAAAAAAAAAAAAAAAAAAAAAAAAAAAAAAAAAAAAAAAAAAAACAGCAGCTCTTAACATTATGTCCTGAGTGATTCTTTCCGCCAGGCAGGATTAGTTCCTCACACTGACAGCAGTTGTTCATTAATAGCAGCTGCAGCCTACTGCAAACATAGCCCAAGGCCCCATTTTTCAGGGGCAACAAGGGGAGGTGCCTGGAGGGGGAACTCCTGCAAAAAGCAAATTAATAGTGAGGGCCCCCAACATTTGGGGTGCTCCATCCAAGCACTGAGAGCTACACTGTTAGCTCGTGTAATCCCTTCTTGTTCGAGGGCAGCTAACTCAGCACGGAGCCCGTGTTCCAGAGCGCAGCAGCAAGAAGCTGCCTCTGCAAAGAGCCCCCAGCCCGAGCTCGGGAGCGGAACGAGCGCAGTGACAGGGCAGGGACAGAAGTCAGCGCTGCAGATTTCTATCACGTTCCTCCTGCTTGTGCCAAAGACACAGGAGCCTGTTTGAAATTCATGGGGGCGCGTTCACATGTCTCTCAGCTGCTCCAGGCCCATTTAGCAAGGGACAATTAGGCGGTTTGGAAGCCGTGGCAAGGGCTGCAGGTTGCAGTTACTCCCAAATCTCCACACCAGTATTTGGGGCGAGGAGTGGGCAGTTAGGGGTGAGCGGATTCTCTCGCCTGTTCCCACTCTCCCGGCTCTGCTAGGAGGCACAGCAGCCAGGGGGCAGCACGCTGACTGCTGCCGCATGGAACCCCTCTGTTAATCTGGATCCATCCCGGTGCGAGAAGAGCCAGAGGTCTGTGCACCCAGCGCAGGGCTCTGGGGATGGGGACAGGCACGGAGGTTGCAGGGCCCCCAGTGCAGGCACTGTGGCCGCTTGCTCCGCTTCCATCAGGTGGCCCAAGGGCAGCACCAGGACCAAATACTCCCCAACTCAAAGACCTATCTTGGCACCCCAGCTGCCCCGGCCTCCCGTCCACCCATTTAGATGGTTTATAAGGACGACCATTATCACAAAGGTAAGAGAGCTCTTCAGTTCACAGCTCATCACACTTCCACAGTGTATTTTTCACATTTTTTTTGGAAGAGCCTGCAGCCTGAGATCCCCAGTGAGCTACAGTTCCCTTACCAAAATGCTGCCCAGCACAGCAGTGCTCACAGAGCTGCGATGCAAGTGCACAATACTGAACAGCCGATTTTCTCTGGAATTAAAGGTGATTTTCCTAGGGAAGGCAGCCCAACTGTAATCATATGCCAAGGCAAAAAGCTCTGTTACAAAGACAGACCACTTGATAAAGGGTTAATGTCGTGTGCCCTGTTTATCTCCTGTTTGATCTTGTTTCTCCTTTTCCAGCCTCCTCGCTGCTCCCAGAACTGTAGGTCAGGTCTGTGCAAACAGTCCTGTTCTGAAAGGGGATCAGACTAGAATATATTAGAGAATATAAAAGAGGAAGCCTGGAAAGTATTTGGATAATGAGACCCGAATAAAGGAACTAATAAAACAGTCACAGATTAAAGCACATGAACAGCGACCATCTCAGATGCAGTCATTGGCTATAAGGTGACCCAGGCAGAGATAAAACATTCTGAAAGAGAAGAAAAAGCTAGAAAGGCTGACCAAAAAAAAAAAAAAAAAGCAGATGCAACTGCAGCTTCTGAACAGAAGAAAGGTGTTTTCCAGCCTCACTGATGTTGCCAAAGCCGTAGCATCCCTTGCTCAGTGACAGTATGACAGGCTAGAATGAAAAAAAAAACCCAACCTTAACCAGCTTAATTTACACACGGCACCCCACAAACTCCTGAAAAACCCTGGTTACTCATTTCCTGCTATTTGCACCATCTTTTGGCAGATGCTGCTCTGTAGCTGTGGCTCACAAGGGGAGAGCTGCATAGCCCCATCTTAAACAAAAAACCCACAAGTATTTCACTCAAAAAAAATTGCTCAAGGACATCTCAGAGGCTGGAA